ACGGTTTTGTAATCAACAATTAGTTGGGGATGACAGAGGATGTCTCAGGTTTCTACTACAAATGTGGCTCAAGAGGACTTTTGCCTACAGAAAGGCAGTGTCCCAGATCTACAGGCATTTAGAGTGACTGTCTTCCAGCTGGTATTTTCTTCAGTATGAGGATAGGGGAAAAGAGGTGGAGAAAGGGTGTTGTGCCCCAGGAAACCATAAAAGAGTACTTTTTCATCAAAAAATTACTGTTCTATATTGATCATCCTACAACTGAAAGGTGATGTCATTCTTATAGGTATTGCTCACGATGCATACATGGAGAAGCAACATCATCCTAGAGCTGATATCTAAAACAGATTAGATCAACTGCAGCCTAAAAGTATGTATCTTTCTTCACTGATTAAAAAGCACTGTTATTGTTCCTCAGACCTACACTGTAGAGTTCCCAGTAAAGTCAGTGACAAATCCCATCCTTTGAGTAAATATTTAAAAACCAGTATAAACAGAAAAGTCCTCGTCCTCAATTTTTGGATGGTTTATTTTTTTGATAAAAAATGGGCTTTGATTTTTATCTTTTTCCATAAGAATATAAGAATGTGATTTGAAGTTGCAATGGAATGTTAAACTTAGGAGTTAATTTGCTAGAATTCTTACCTTCTTTTCTAGTACAACTTCATTTTGTGTGGATAGGAAGGTAGTTAACAAATTTATGGTATTCATCTTACAGTCTACATTTAGACTTTGATAATTCAGGCACAATTCACTTTAAAGTTAAGGAACTTTAAATTTAGGTATCTACAAATAAGGTGCCAGGCCACACTAGCTTTTATTATAGGCAATAGAGATCTAATGAGTATAGTCAAGGGAGCCCAGGGAGTGACTCAGCTCACCCTAAATAGGCTACTCATTTGAATAATCTGTAGGCTACAGTGAATATGCTGATTGGTTTTCCATTGACTATAATGTGAATATAGTCACCTAAAGTGAAAAAGAATATAGAGAAAAACAACCCTTAGCTTTACATGTAAAATCATGAGTTATGAGAAGAACATTATTACTTAGGAGAGAGACCTTGAGGCTGGAACTATAGTTCCATTACCATATCAGCTCTGTGCTCAATAGAAGATGTATTAAAAATGTTAGGAATTATTAGGGCAGGAATAGAGAAGGTAAAAGAAAACATCATTATGCCACTATATAAATCACATGTTTTCCCATAACTTGGATACAACAAAGGGAAAATGTAAAATCCTACACCTGGGGAGAAATAATCCCATGCACCAGTACAGGCTGGGGGCTGACTGGCTGGAAAGTAGCTTTGCAGAAAAGGACGCCAGGTCGACCAGGAGCCAGCAATGTCCCCTGGTGGCAAAGAAACGCAACAGAAAGAGCTGGGATTGTTTAGCCTGGAGAAGAGCAGGCTCACAGAGGATGTTATTAATGTGTATAAATACTTGATAGGAGGGTGTAAAAACAGAGGTAAACCGCTCTCAGTAATGCCAGTGAAAGGACAAGAAGCAATGGACACAAACTGAAGTACAAAGAACTCTACTTGAACATAAAAAACCTTTTCTTACTATGAGGGTGACTGAGCACTGGAACAGGTTGCCGGTAGAATTAGGGGGCATTAAATAAAGCTAGTAGGGGCCACAGTTAAAAGATACAAAAGCAAAGTGCTTCTTCACACCACAGGCTAGACCTGTGAACTTCTTCCTGGAATGACAGTGTCATGGTATCACAGAATAGCTGAGGTTGGAAGGGACCTCTGGAGATTGTCTAGTCCAATCCCCCTGTTCAAAGCACAAGTTTATACAGGGTTCAAGGGAAGACTAGGTAAGTACTTAAGAGATTCACTGATCTCTACTAAAGAGACAAACCACATAAGGCTCACAAAACCCCCTGAACTGAAAATAGTTGGGGAAAG